GACCTGCTGCTATCGCACTTACAAGTAAGAACTTCTCCCCACGTCATTTGGCACCCTACTATCACACTACTGCTGCTGGCTACTAGCCTAAGATCTGACCAGACCATGACTACGTGTAGGCAGGGATCATACCGCCCAGGCGATATTATTGGAGCTATTTAGAAGCTACGGAAAATTGTAAGTGCTTTTCTTTATTCTTCTATCAACTACAAATACGTACTATACCATTGTAGACATCTTGTTTCTTTTGTCTTGCATATTGATTTGAACCTGAGGACCGCACCAAGGCACTTCCACCCTTCCACCAGTTGTTTTTGTATCCACCAAGGAGAAGGAAGGAAGGTTCAGGTTGTTCCAGTTGCATACCCACCTTTATACAAGCGCTAAAAATTCTACTTGTTATTTATTAAACTTGATTCTATTGCCATGCAGTCCAGCCTCCCAAGAGACAAACTAGATCACAATCTTTCATGCATTGACCAAGACCTTCACATAGGTTCTTGCTTTCACAAAGAACTGCAATCTTTTAGGCTCACTCAATTTCGCTATGAGGATTATTCCTCAAAGCAGGTCTTTTATTTCGAGACTCCTATATCTCTATATCTCTTTCCGAAGCTCCCTATTGATGATAGTCGCATTACATAAGATTCCCAAGCTACATCAGAGAGTGGCATAGATTCCTAGAATAGGAAAAGCATCTTTCTTCCTGAAATCTCCGTACATTTACCCACCATATACAGTCAGGTTCATAAATATTGGGACAGTTTATAAAAACTGCGATAATTACACTTGCAGGTTTAAGGGTGATGGGCGTTGGCACCCAGACCACTTCAATGAGCTGAAGTGGTCTGGGTGCCTATAGTGTACCTTTAAGTTTGCATAACACAAATCAACATTTCGACCCAATTGGTTCTTTATCAAGTTGCTGAATAACATAAAGGCAGTACATTTGTAAGCTTTGCAAATAGTGTAAGTGTGCACTTACCCTGAACACGTGAATTTCCAAGCCCCCAGTTCCACACGCCGATAGACAGAGCAGTGTTCCCCGTACGTTCGTAGTGACGTGTATGATGACATAAAGCATTGGTCATTGGGCCGCATGTCAACGGATCACATCCTGCTGCCATGGTGACGCTAAAACATTGTGAAATATTGTGAATATAAAATGCATGAAACTACAAACATGCATGGAGGATCGAAGTTAAATAATAGACACCCTATAAATACCAGAAATATTTAGTATACACTGCTGTCCCAGGGATGTAGTGGAAATGTTGCAAGGGAGTCATTTGTCACTAGATTGGGGTTAATATTAACTCTTTATTGTACAGGTTGGGGGAGAAAAGGCACATGAGACTCACCATCACTAAAGCGTTTTAAATAAATTCTGGAGTGTTCCTTCAAAGGGACACCTATAGCAGTTTTCATGGATGCCATCTGCCATTAGCTGACACTCTCAGCCAACAAACACTGTTTAAACCTGGTATGAGTTGGTATGATAATGCATTTTATCATAGAAACTCAAACTGGAAGGACCAACGAAAGTGTCAAATGGGTGATGGATGAATTGACAGAGTAACTTTCGACAGTAACATCTGACTCCATAACCACTACCGTGCATCTGTCCAATTAACCCTAAAGCCATAAAAAGGACACTATAGACATCAAAACAGCTTTAGCTTAATTAAACAGTTTTGATGTATAAATCATGCCCATGCTCACAAAGCTTGAATCTTTGCCATTTAGGAGTCAAATTACTTTTTTTATACAGCCCTAGTTACACCTCCCTGCATCTGACTTGCACAGCCTTCCTAAACACTTCCTATAAATATACTTCTGATGTTTAAACTTCCTTTATTACAAGGTGTGTTAAATTTAGAATTTCTTATCTCCTGCTCTGTTACTTCACAAGCCTCCTGATTGTGAATAACATTAAATTTCTAGAGCAAGAGATAAAACGTCTTAAGCAAGTTAACAATGAAACCATTTTTTATGCAGGCTGTTAGTCACAGCCAGGGGGTGTGTGGCTGCACAGACAAAAACAAAAGTGATATAACTCCTGAATGGCAGAGAATTGAGCAGTGAAACTGCATGGGCATGATCTATACACCAAAACTGCTTCATTAAACTAAAGTTCTACTGGTGCCTATAAACTGTAAAAAGGATGGATTGGCATTGTGAAAGTTTCTAGAATGGAGTGATACTAACTCTTGCTCAAATTTACATTTAATGTTGTGTGTATATATGCTCCGCTAGTCTCGTGCGTAAAGTTCAGGTGGTCCGCCCAATATAATTGAGACCACGCAGGCATGTGAGCATGTATATAACCCCACTGTAGTGACAGGCAATTAATTCTCTAATATTGTAGCTATGACCATTGACTTCATATTGTGTGATGTGGCACCTTTTTTAGAATTTGTAATTTGGCATACTTTGCACCTACCACATCCACAAAAAAACTTTATATTGAGTTTAAAAATTACTTTTATTCTCCTCCTTTCTTTTTAAGGTAATATTGTTGGTTAAAAACTTTTTTTAAATTGGACAGTCCCCTATGTACAATTTTTGGTGAAGGTGGTAAAATCTCCTTCAGTAATGGATCACTTAATAGCAGATGCCAATGTTTCTTAATAATGTTTCTTAACTTTGCCATTAGGATTACCTGAAAATTGGCAAAGGAAAGGAAGTGAATCAGCTTGGCCAATAGAATCTCTTGTTTTATATTTAAGTAATTCCTGCCTTTCAATGTGGTCCACAGAGTCTAATGCCTTTCGTGGGAGGTTATTATCATCAGCCTCTTTCCAGGAACTCTTGTGTCATTTTCTGCCCTTGGCTTATAAACGTTTCTCGTTCTGTGCATTTGCGTTTGAGTCTGATAAATTGGCTCTTCGGCACATTTTCAAGCCAAGAGCTGAAGTTTTTTTTTTCGATGTAACTATTGACATCTACATTGTTGAAGGTTTTTGTTTTAATGACATCGTCTTGTATATAAATGGAAAGGTCTAAAAAAAAATCTATTTCTGAACTGCTATATTTAGAAGACAAGGTAATACCCCAATTATTCGTGTTCACAGAGCTGATAAATTGCTGGAGTAATATTTCTCCACCTCTCCAGATAAAAAGCAGGTCATCGATGTATCTCTTATAGAGCACCAGGTTAGCTGCCCAGCCACTCCCCTCGCCCAGACAAGTAAGGAAGCAGGGGGGTGGAAAGAAAAGTAATGTGATCCTTGTGTTATGCATGCGTGAGCATATTTTATCTCTGTGTGTACATGTTATCTGTGTGTACACATGTGCATCTGTGTCTGTGTGCTCCTGTGTGTGTTATCTGTGTTTGTATGTGTTATCTCTGAGTGTCTGTATGTGTTATATGAGTGTCATTGTGTGTATGTGTGTCTGTATTTGCCTGTTTTTCAGTGTGTTTAGATCTCTATGTGTGTTGGTGTGTGTCTGTGTATCTGCATGTCTGTACCTGTGTATCTGTATGTGTTTCAGTGTTTATATCTGTGTCTGTGTAGTTGCATGTGTGTCTGTGTGTCTGTATATGCGTGTGTGTAAGTGTATATAAGTACATCCCAGGTCCTGTCCCGTGGATGACCCGCAAGTTTCAAACTTAAGTTTTGCAAAGGTACATCTAGGACCATCAGAATTCCAGGCTCCACGACCACCAGAAATCCAGGCTCTACGACCCCCACCTGACGAGACTTCTGACGGCTCTGCTCCAACTACAAAATGTGACTTGAAGGTCCTTTTGGAGGACATTCATAAGCTACTTGCAGCAAGTTTTCATCTTTATCAAAACAGAGGTACAAGCTGTCACAGACCACATGCAGGCTGCAGAGGAATATATAGTCAATGTGCAAACCCATTTAACTTCGCTCAAGATACCACACAGCAGATCCAGACCATGGCTCGTCCATGAGGCGGCACAGACGGGGGAGGGGAAAAGAACACTAATGGGGAGGAACACTGAGGTGGATGGAGGGCACTAAGACAGGTAAGGGGGGTAGAGGAACGCTAAGGGACAGGGGGGGTATGGGGGGCACTAAGAGACAAGTAAGGGGGGAAGGAAAATGGAACACTAAGGGAAAGGGAAGGGAGGGAGGGGAGAGGATCACTAAGGGACAGGGAGAGGATCACTAAGGGACAGGGAGAGGATCACTAAGGGACATGGAGGGGAGAGGAACACTAAGGGACATAGAGGGGAGAGTAGCACACAGGGGGGCCTTAGTAGGGAGAAAGACACACAGAGAGACACGAGGGGGGAGAAAAACCCACAGATGGGCCTGGGGTAAGAAAGACACACAGAGGGGCTGGGGATGAAAGCGACACACAGAAGGGCCTGTGGGTGAAAATACAAATGGGAAGGGGGTGAAAGAGGGTCTGGACAAGAGGAAAAATAAACCCAGGGAGGCTGTGGGGAGTTAGACACACAAAGGAGAGTTGTAAGAGATACACAAGGGAGGTGTAAAACACAATGGGGAAAGATAGGGGATAAGGTACACTAAAGGGGGTAAGACATTTAAAAAAGGGGATAAGAAAGGCGGGGGGCAGAACTTGGCTGCCATGCTGTGAGGAAGCACAGGGCTGCAGCGTCTCTGAACTGACCTGGTTTTGTCAACATTTTACTGAATCTACCTGATTTCACAATATTGCTCCAGGCATCCCTGTTTTTGGAACCTCTTGTGAACACAGTGATACCACTCCTGCAGCCCTGTCTTAGGTTTTTGCAGCACTGCACTGCTGGCGGCCTACTTCTACTAGCTGACTCAGTACGAGAGGGATCGCCGCACGCCTGTACCCAGCATTGTCTGGTGATTACTTCTGCTGCCCTTATTCCCCCCTCCCCCCCTCCCCCCCCCCGCTTTTGGACCGGTGGTGGTTCAGGGCCGGCCTACCTTAACACCCACAGGCACCTGCACCACTAAGAGCCGAAGGCCCCGTAGTGGACACAATGGCGACGTCTGAGGCCTACTCTGTCCCCTCTGTCTACCCTAGCAACACGCACAGCAGACTAGAGCAAGTCTTCACAGACTTTCTCAACTGCTTCTCGCAGAGTGGGACGCTGCTTGTATACTGCCCGCCCTGCCGGAGTGACTCTGTAGCAGTGTCTCCGGGGAAGATCCCACGATACTCTGATGTGACAGAGGCGCAGAGGATTAAATCGCGACCATCTCCCAGTCCTGGTCCACCTGCACGTCCAGTCCTGACCTTACCTTCGAGCTCTAAATACCTTAAAGGGACTCTCCAGTGCCAGGAAAACAAACCATTTTCCTGGCACTGCAGGTACCCTCTCCCTCCCACCCACCATCCCAAGTTGCTGAAGGGGTTAAAACCCCTTCAGTGACTTACCTGTATCCAGCGCCGATGTCCCTCGGCGCTGGGTCAGGGTCCGCCCACGCTCCTCCCCCGCCGCCGTCATCCGGTGGGGGAGACCTTTTGAGCATGCACGGCCGCCAGCGGGGGAGACCTAATGCGCACGCGCGGCAATGCCGCACGCGCATTAGACCTCCCCATAGAAAAGCATTGAAAAATGCTTTCAATGCTTTCCTATGGGGATTTCAGCGACGCTGGAGGTCCTCACATAGCCTGAGGACGTCCAGCGACGTTATAGCACACTTTTCATGTGCTATTAACACGGAAGTGCCCTCTAGTGGCTGTCTGGTAGACAGCCACTAGAGGAGGAGTTAATCCTGCAAGGTAAATATTGCAGTTTATGAAAACTGCAATAATTACACTTGCAGGTTAAAGGGTAGTGGGAGTTGGCACCCAGACCACTCCAATGGGCAGAAGTGGTCTGGGTGCCTGGAGTGTCCTTTTAGTGTCACATTAAAATATGCGGGGGTGGGGCCTGACCGCCATGCTGGCTGGAAACAATGGCTCTGATAACTTTCTGTCTTTTAAGCTCAAAAAAGGAACTCCTGATCCTACCAGATGACCAAATGCGATAGGCAAGCACATGAGGAAGCACTGGACCCTCGGAGAGGCTCGCAATTCTTGTTTCAGTCACTCTGAGAGATATACGTCGTTCCCACGTGATGAGGCCTACTCAGGCGGTGAGTGGGGTGGACGGCCGCTGCCCGCTATCCTGCCCAATAGTATCCAGCCAGACTCCCTCAGATTGGCAAACCGGGCCCTGTCTCTCCCCCCCCCTCTGGGCCACACCCTGCAATCCCTACCGCAACAGAGATCCCAAGACCCAGACGAGCTGCCAAAACACAGCTCAAGCCACAAGCCACCTTTAAAATGGCAGCAACCATGACCTTGCCAGCTCGCATCGGGGAGCCTGTCGCTTTCCGCCCCTCGATGAATGCAATCCCCACAAATCTTGGGCAGGCTCCACATACCTGTCCATGGCAGCCTGATTGGGGACACCGGGCCACACCACATCGGTACATGCCAGACCAGAATCTCTGTGATCCCTGCCCCCGCACACAGCAAAGAGGTTGGAAGGGCTGCAAGCAGGTACACAAAGCACAGCCCCAAATAACCAGACCCAGCAGACAATCCCTCGGGCCGGTCCTGACGAATGGCACACGGAGCACATCTCTCAGAACAAGCCCACAGCGCCCCCATGGCAACACTTACCAGTCAGACCACAGCAGGATGGAACCAAACAGCTAGAGGGCATCGGCGGAGGTGCACTTCATACCAAAGGGGGTCTTCCCAGTCTTCAGTCTGCACGGTGTGGACACTAAGCAACAACGACTTAGAATACCACCAACGGCCAAACTGTGTGTGCAGAAACCTGCCTCATACCCCTGCCAGGGACATTGGAACTCAAACGCCTGTAGGTGAGGTGTCGGGGTGTTCCCACGCTATAAGTTTGAAGCATAGCATGTTTTTCAGTGCTTACTCATTATCTCTCATCTTAGTATTAAGTAGCATACGACAGCACTTATTAATGGATGGGATGCAGTACCACAGGTGATGCTTAATCTTTATGCCACAAGCAGCACTGGTGACACTGTACCCCCATACATATCTTGTTTATCCTGTTGGTTTATCACTTATGATTTCTAGCACGGCTATACATCTTGAATTAAGGCAGCAGGGGCTATGCCTCATAAGTCTTTAACTAATCCTTCAATATCATGTCTTGTATTCTTGATAAAGCCCAGTTTAAGCAACCTAAGCAGAAAAGCCCAGCTGGTTAAACACTATGTGAATGCCTCTACTCACTCTTATACACCTAAGAAGCACTGTATGTTTAATATTTTAAGCCTGATAATCCCAATGTGAACCATTATAATAGACATAAATAGTCAGCTTGCCTTATAAACTTTAAAAAAGATTGTGCGTTTCTCTGAATGTCATGCAAATGTTAACAAATACTTGTTTTCAAACTGCATGTGACTGCTGTTGTGGCATTGCAAGCATGCTTATGTTATTTCATGCACAGCAAAAATAAAGAATATAAAACATTTTTTTTTTAAATATGCGGCATCCCTGCTGAAATTTCTGTAGAGAACCTGCCACACTACATCAGATGCCTTCTAGGCACTACGATGTGGCAAAAAAACTAACCATCTGCGAGGATTACTTTCTTCCAATCTACAGTCACCTACAGTCCACTGTTTCCCGAGATGTGATCCTTCGTTGTCTTACAGCTCAAGATAATATCCACATTATGTCAGCACGGAAGGGCAAAACACCTTTGGCTTTTGAGAACTCTGCTCTTACTTTTTACCAAGTTCTTCCGAAAGCTACTCTCATGTGGCGCAAGTCCTTTGGCCCAGTCAATACTCAACTTCGTACAGTGAGGAAGACTCACAGATGGGGGGCAACCGGCTCTCTAGAGGTGACTCATGCAGGGACTATACATGTGCTAACATCAATGGAGGACGATTCCACCTTTCTAACAACTCTGGCTCTACCTGGTTCGAATGCAACCCTGAATGTGGGAACCCCGTCGGAGTCCTGGAACCCTGTGGACATAACATAACCTCTGTTATCCCGAGGGCCAACAATATTGAGTAATTCAGGAAGTTTAGGATAGGGTCATGTATGAAAAGGGACATTCATTCACATGATAGATATGTAATTACGGCCTCTTATATTATCTTGCATAAGCAATAGTCAAGCCCAGAGACTATTGCATTATCCTGCTGCATTAAACCTGTGCACACTGTGTAGCTGATTTGTTTTATAACAGCAGTAACATTAACTAGAAAGCTGTAAATGTCATGGCAGGAGCGTTACTAATGATGAGATCAGAAAAGGGAGAACTAGAGACTTGGAGAGGGCTAGAGAGCTGGAACATTATAGAGAGACATAGAATGTACCTATTCAATTGACTAGGTACACATGTGCGTCGCAGGGTTATTCAGGGGTCAAGGTGTGGTGTGCATAGCTATTAGTCGCGAGGGCATCAGCAACGGCTCTTGAGATGCCCTTGTGAACTTTCCATGCAGGGGTCCGCGCGGACAGTGCTCTGATTGGAGCGCTTGTCCGCGAGGGTGCTCTGGAGCGGGAAAAACTGAAATATATATATTTATATAATATATAAAGCGCCCTGAGGTGATATTTGGCGCCAAGAAAAAGAAGTTAACTGTAGCGCTGTTTTTCCCTGCCCTCCCTCCCTATAGTTTAATTGTCGTGGTCTTTTATTGGGGTTGAGGTCACCTCCCTAATTTAAAGGGGGGGTGGACTAGGTGAGTTATCATTTTGTTTAAGTTCTGGCTAATAGGGCGGAACTCTGGTGAGTTATGTATTAAATCTCTGGGGATTTAAAGACCAGAGATGTTTGGTTACAAATTACATGTTTTAAAGTAAATAAGTTACATTTGTATAATTTGTAAACTAAATAAAAGTCCATGGCCTTTTCAGCACACATATGAGTCTGTGTTTTATTATAATGTTTCTGTGCCTTACAATGTTATGTATTACTTGCTGTTATTATGTGTCCCCCTGAACTAAGCACATGTACTGTGTGAATACATCTTGCAGCTCTGTGTAATCAATCACGGTGATCCTGGCATTTGGATTAGTTATGAGTATCTCATTATTGTGCCCAGCTCTGTGTGATATTTCTCTGTATTTTTCTCAGCGCTGCCTGTTGTATGAGTATCTCTGTAGTGTCTAGCTCTGTTTATTTAAGGAGTATATGTGTTGTGCTCAGCTCTGTGTATTATATGAGTATCTTATTATTATGCACAGCATTAGTATCTCCTTGTTCTACTAGGTTCTTGTATTGTATCTCTGAATTGTACTCAGTTCTGTTTATTGTACAGGTATCTCTGTATTGTTCCCAGCTTTGAGTAGTGTATGGATATTTCTATATTATAACTTGCTCGGAGTGTAATGGAAAGTGTAACGGAGCATCTGGCCCCCTTGACTGGGCACCTCCGTTGATGGACGCTTGCTAGCTGACGCCGAGGACCATAAGCACCGCACCGGACACCACAACCACCGCAAACTCCACAACCGCCGTAGCTTAACTGGAGTCTTGCTGTATTCCTTCCACCCTGAATCAACCTCTGTTCTCCAGGACCGTGTGGGAAAGACCTCTCCTCCAAGAGAGTGTATCGGAAACAGCTCTTAAAAGAGCTAAGCTCAGGGGAGTATACAAAGTATAGCAATCCCCAGTGTGAATATAGCAGTTCCCTACAATAAAGAGACGAGGCTACGAAGTCACATTTGACCGACCGCAAGCATGGTTTTCATGCCCAAAAGAGTTCCACAGATTTAGGCTGTGCGGCCGGTCTATCTTCTCCTCTATCCTGGAGATAATTGGCTTAAGTGGCTGTGGTACCTTAATTATCTCCAGGTACAGGAAATATCTCCAAGTCAAAAACTGTTACAAAAACCACATAAAAATACATAACTCTTATAATACAATGCTTAACCTATATGTCCAACATATCCCCAGATAGCTTGGATCTGAGCGATCAATATGTCCGAAAAGCACTCAGATCTCACGAATACAGTTGGATCGCCATGGGGTTAAACTATAGTAGGGGCTGATGAGAGATTGAGGAGGGACAAAGCAGCCAGTTTCAACTGGTCTGGCAGTGTACCTGGGACATTGCCCTGCTGGAGAACAATAGGACAGGAAAAATGGGGAGGGGAAGAGGCACATTTTCCCTTTTTAGCATGTCTTTATGCAGGGCCCATAGTCTTGGGGCAGGAGGCTAGTAATCAGGCCCCTCCAGAAGCCAGTGGCAAAGGGTAGTTCATCACAGAAAGGGAGTACCATACGTGATTAAGTGCACAGATGCCACAGGTCAGAAGATGGTGGCTAAAGAGTTAAAGGGCAGGGTCAAATTCTGAGGGAGGAGTCTGGCACCACACGATCTTAAAACTTCACCAGCCACCAATGTTTGGCACCATACTACCTGGGATGTGCATGTGTAAAGAGGGCATTTTGAATATGTCCATTTTGACTAAGGTGTCATGAGTGCCATGTTGCCACCCATGGATTTTTGTGAAATTGTTTTGCAGCAGTGTAACAAAATAAAATCTCTGTAAAAACTATACTGGCAATGTGTAAGTTAGAGACATCAAACATTTGAGGAAGTAATCCAGATGATGCTTAGGTTCTATATACATTGCAAGGCAGTACTATTCAAGACACATCCAACATGAAAAATTGATACATGTCCAGGAACATATGACAGTTCTGGCATAACTAGCTTAAGATTTAGTATATTATTAGAGAAATTATACTACATTGCTGTAGTAGTCAGTAACATACAGATAACAGTCCTTATTTTATCTAATATAGGGCTAAAGTAGATTTTGTTTTATTAATCTTCATGATAAAATTTAGAGTCGTAGAATGAACAAAAAGCTATTTATGGTAAATTTGGTCAGTAAGTTAGCTTTTTAAAGGGTCCCTTCAGGTATCGACAAATGCTAACTGCAGCGTGTAGGCTAGGTTATATTTAGTTATATACCAAAATAGACTAAAAGTGTACTCAACAATAAAGAAAGACACCACAAAAAGGTAGGAATTGCCTATATAGCTAATGCAATAAAACAAATATAAAGGCTTTATTAGGAAAACGTAAACATAAGAAAAACAAAGTATATAAATGTGTATTTACAACAAAGTGCATTGTGAGTAGGATTAGTGTTTAACAGCAGTGGCTAAATAAATATAGTCAAAAGGTACACACTTGAATTAAAACACAGTCTATTAGTATCATCAATGTCTGATTAACAAGATAAGAAAATGACAGCAACTGATAAAAGGAGTCACCAAACCTCATTCATTACATTGGAATATCCAATCTCAGCTGGATGAATTATTTGAAATATAGACAATATTTCCAAAGTATTAGAGTCCTGCAAAGGCAATTAAAAAAAATTAAAAAAAACAAAAACAAATACAGGACTGTGCATTATGAGACTATATATGACTGGAATATTGAGTAAAGGAGTCTCCTCAAAAAAGTTAATCGGAGTGAATGCCCATTGAATCACTAACTGGCATTGGATGAAATAAACATAAGGAATATCCCATATAACAGTACGAAGCAAGAAATGGTCTGATGCTAAATAACTCCATACACACTCTCATTCCAGGCATGTGTGGGTGTGGGGGGAGTGGTAAGAGGGAAAGAAGGGGCTGGAATACATATATAGATGGGCATTTGGCCTTTTTACTTCAGCCATCTTAGAATAACGGCTTAGTAACAGCTTCCTGCTTGCCTTTCCTATTACTTGCTATTTCCAGTGCTTTGGACGGCCAGGGCATGGACATTGACTCAGTCCTTGCTGCCCTTAGGATCAAGATTGATGGGGAGTGCCACTTACTTGCAGTTGCTTCTGGGTAAATTGAACTTTGCATATCGGATCATGCCCATGGGCGGGGTCTTTAATAGCCGTTTAGCAGCAGCAATGTCGGGGGTCATGAGGCTGCACCACTTTGTGCGCTTTACCCGACCACTGGCGGTGTGGAGCGCTTTCCTCAACAGGTATAATGGCAGGTCCTACTGGCAGCAGCCAGAGGTTTCCGAATTCCGACCTCCATCTCTTCACTAACGTGGTGGGGTCAGTGGGGTTTGTGGCCATTCTGGGTACATACTGGTGTGCAGAGTCCTGGCAGTTTGACTAGGAACCTGGCGTTTCAGAAGCTGTTCCCAATTGTGGTGGCGGTTCATCTAAGGGGTGCCTCTCTACGGGATCGGCGGGTCCTGTTCCACTGCGAAACCCTGGGGGTGGTTTTTGACATTAACAACTTGATGGCCTCCTCCGCTCCAGTGCTGCGACTTTTGAGGTGTTTGGTTTTGCGCTGCTTGTCCATAAATGTTACGTGTAGAGCTGTGCAAATCCCGAGTGTTAAGAACATAACAGTGGATGCCCTTTCTCGTTCACAGTGGCAGGCGTTTCAGGCAGCCGCACCGGACGCGGAGGGTTCCTGCTGCCCGGCAGAACTGTGGTACCTTGACCTGAACGAGTGAGGGCTTGGATCTGGTCATCCGTGTCGGCTGCCACTTGGGCTCGGTATGGTAAGGCATGGGGTGAGTGGGTGTCCTTTGAACAGGAAAGTGGTGGTTTTGGCTCACTTGATGATCGGGTTCAAGGTCTTTTGTGTCTTCTGGGGTTTTGGAAGGCTTTGAGGTGTTCGCCCGCAGCGGTCGCCGGGAAATTAGTGGGTCTCAGTTTTTTGGTTTAAATTAACCAGGGTGCCCGACGTCACCAAGGACTACAAGGTCACTTTGGCAATTAGGGGTTGACGGTGGGGGTCTCGTGTGCCTCGGGTGCCTGACTCCTGTAGGCCTGTCTCTGGGGCGTTATTGTTGGGTATTGTGTCGGTTCTCTGCAAGGTCCAGTCGACAGGTCTGGCTAGTTGAGCATTCCTATATCTATTGGGCCCATCTCCGTGTGGGGGTTCGACCTGGTGGGACTCGTCTCGGCCAGTCGACAGATGTCAGATGGTTTGGGACTCAGGACATGCGATGGGGACAGCTGATTCCGGAAGTAGTTCAGCTTGCGGGTCTGTTGGGTATTTTGGTGATACACTTTGGGGGTAACTATTTGGGTGCAATGCCAGTATGGGGCGTGGGGGATATGATCAAGCGAGACTTGGCACGCTTAATAGTTCTGTTTCTAAAGGTTTGTTTAGTGTTGTCTGAGGTGGTGGCCTGGAATTATTGGAGGTGCGCACGCGATCAGAAGGCTATGAAGTTCTGCAGGATTAAATTGAATAAGAGAGTGGCAAAGTCTGTACTGCGTACTGGGGGTCTCTCGTGCGGCACCGCATTTTTGAACAGGAGGCGGTGGTCTATTTTCACTCTAACGGGGTCCACCTTACCGATGTGAGCCTCAATTTATTTAATTTAGCGTTACATGACGTTTTAGAGCAGGCTATGGCATAGTTGGGGGTCGCGCTCGCTGATTTAGGGGTAAAGCAGCGGGGCTAGTGGCGGGTAAGGTCCTTGCCAATCCGAGTTGGAGCAAGAGTACGG